GCATGTGTTGTCTCTGCATATGATCCTCGTAGTCGATTTGTTATCCTCTGGGAGCGCAGCCCTTGCTGAACTCCAAGATTAAATCAGACAGCCAAAAGAATGCTGTTGTTTGTCATGGGTCAGATTCCCTTCTCAGGCATTTCCATCGAGTAGCACCAACACAAGGCAGCTGGAGCTGGCACTGTATCACCACTGGTACCATGATTATGTTGGCATGGCATTAGAACAAGTGTGAATGTGTTTGTAGTTTCGAGGGCCTGATAATGAGAAGGAATATATGTGTGCATCTATATATTGTTGAAACCATTTTTCTTCCCTTTGCTGGTGGTGGCATTGCTTTTGTCTTGTCTGCAATCAGGTTTCTGCAGGCTGCCACGCTCGGCACAGTGTTTTGCCAATAGCGCAGGCATCGATTACACTGTTTGCAGGCTCCTCTGACATCAGCTGGGAAACTCATGGCTGGGTTAGGTGTCACTACAGCAGTAGCAGCAAGGGCTCCATCTGTCCTGCAGACCTGGCTCTTCCACCTCTTTCCCAGTGCTAAGGTTGAGGGGAAATAAGCACCCTCACTGCCTCATCAGCTTGGCTATCCACTTGTTTGCCCCGCCTCTGCCCTCTGTTGACTTTGACAAGACCCTTGTCCATGTCTTTTAGCTGCCTCTGAGCAGTCCTCAGGCAGTAGCATGCGATGAGCACATCCCCATATGCAGATGTATGTGTATGAATTGCTTCACAAGGTCCGTGCCCATCTCACAACGAGGGATTCAGGACTTCACTGGGACACTGCTTTTCTGCTCAGAAAAATGTCAGAATTCTATCATTCAATGCACATCCCGCGATAGCAAGGAAGAGGAATGGCAAGTTTGTGTTGCTGAGACGTGTAGCAGGAGGGAGAGAGTGGGATTTTCCAAAAGAGGGCATAGCACAGCTAGAAATAACTGCGTTTAAAGTAGTGACATTTTTATGCACAGAAAAGCTAACTTAGAATATTTTTAGAGGATTTTATAAATCCCTCTGAGCTCAGTACCTCTGGATTCATCATGCACGATACCTGTGTTACAGGGAGAAGATGTACAAGAAATAACCCCATATATAGCTCCTGTGCTCTCCTGTGCTTTCCCTAAGTAGTTCTTATAACCACAGGTAGCATATGCAAAAAGCATAATGAAACCCAGAAAGCTTGGCTGCTTTTGCATTTCTCTCTGTGAAAGAGAAATATAGGCTGCTTTTGAAAACAAACAGACAAAAAAGGAAAGCTGTCATAATCTCGCTGACATGCCCTTTCTGCAGTCATGGGTGTATCTAAATATCAGTGGTTAATTTTTGCAAAATGATAAGCCTTCTTTTTGTCTTTCAGCTCTGTGAAATGTAGCTGCCAGGAGCTTTTGGATTAAGCTTTATCAGGCTCCAGTTAGGAAAGCTTCGTGGAGGTTACGTAGCCAAATACAACACACAAATCAAATTATGGAAGAAATGAATGTGGAGTTGTTAAATTAATTTTGTTTGTTCCAGCCCACTGGAATGTTTTTAACACGAAGAAAATAATTCTGTGCTGTATGACTGGCCTGGCCAGTGCTTAGGACTGTATTAGCATGCTGCATTTGTCTGCAAGTGGTAAACAGGTTTTCTCTAAGCTTGAGTGAGCTTTTGGGTTTTATTTGTAGAGGACATGCAGCACTCAGGGCATTGCTGCATGATGTCCCCCTGCTGCAGCAAACGTCCCATCCTGCTGAGCCTCCCAGAGATGTTCCCATGGCCCCAGAGAGGCTGTTCTGCCTCCTGGGTCTCCAGCAGTCTGCTGGCCCTCCATCATGGCTTTGGTATCACCCTAGACCTACACAGTGCTAGTTCAAGTATCTCTACTCTTTGTTCATAGAATCATTAAGATTGGAAAAGACCACTAAGATCATTCGGTCCAACCATCACCCATCCCCACCATGCCCACCAGCCATGTCCCTCAGTGCCACATCTCCACAGTTCTTGAACATACCCAGGGATGATGACTCCACCACCTCCTGAGCAGCTCGTACCAGTGCCATACTGTTATACCACAGAGAGACACCCTGAAATCTCCCTCAGTATTTTTATTATCCCTTAGGATCCAAGTTTAACAGAACATTAGTAATGCTTTCTTAAAAATAGCTGAAATCTGCCATTTCAGTGTGAAGTGATGTTGGTTCTTGGGCTACGTTTTGTTTTTTGTTTTTTTTTTCCTGAAGCACATCATGAGTACATTGGATTCTTGCTTATGTTGCCTGGTTAAAAGAAAACATTGACCAACCCACACGTGTTACTCTTTGGTGTATTCTGATTCAGTCCTGAGGAGCACTCAGGCATCTCTTTCCTGACCCAACCTCTTTCTGCTTCTGTTTGTCCTTCAGGCACACATTTTGTGGAATCATTAGAAGCTCTTTAGTGTAAAAAAAAAAAAAAAATAATAGAAAAGAAAGAGAAGAGGTGCGATTTTTTTAATCTTCTGCTGAAAATCCAATGCACACAGAATATTGAAAGGAAAATTACCTCTGTGGAAAATGCCAGTTGTTTTATAAATGGTCAAATCATTACATTTTTTCTTGCTTTTCAGACATTTGCTACGTTATTACACATCTCTTTAATTAAATCATCAAATTGAATTATTGGATCAAATGTTTTTTATTCCATTGTATCCTGAGCAGGTTTGGTTAAATTAATAAAACCATATGTTTCATTTTATAAAAAGGATTTTTTTTTTTTTTGCCCATTCATAAGCTGTAAAAAGAAAGAAAAAGTGAGTGAACAAAAAATGCTGGTTATTACTTAATTACATCAGGTTCTTCTGAGTGCCTCTGAGGAATTGCAAAGCAAAGTCATACTAAGTCATAAAAAGTTTGTAACATTATTTACTGTGAAATAGCAGCAGAGTAAATTCCATCTCCTTTTGGCTGGCCATGGAGGCAACTCACCCCAGTCATGCAATGTCTCGGTGAAGTCTTGCAGTCATTGAGCTGCTTCAAGTGCCCATATCCTTGGATCACGATGCACGGTCGCAGAGGATGTCTTAATGTTGAGCCTGTATGTCTCCATTTACCCTTGGGACATACCTGTTCCCCACCTCTGATAGTCATGAGCTGTTCTGAGTTATGTGGATGCTGGCTGCAAAGAGTGGTGTGGAGCAGAGGACATGTCCCCTCTCCGTTGGGTGGCTTAGGGTCGTCATCTACAAAAGCACGGGATGGTTGAGAGGGGCATTGCAATTAAGGTAATCTGTCTGTCTCTCATGAAGGTTATCTACTTGAATTATTTCTGCAAGAATTTGATGCATGATCACTTTAACTGTATAAATCTCTGAATCTCCTCATGGAGAAGGAGGACTAGATGGACTTTCAGGTCTGGGTATTCCTTCACCCTGGGTACCACCTCCAATTGGATTTATTTAGGAGGAATGGCGAAGGCCAGCATGACATTTTGAGGAGTGATTCTGTGATGACAAAGGGCTTCAGAGGGGGCAGTTATGATTTATTAGTGCCGTTATCAGTAAACAGTGATGTAAAGGAGAATTGATCTGACAATCTCAGCAGAAGGAGGTGAGCATGGAGAGGCATACCAAGAACCACGAAGCTCTATAAATCTCAGCAATGGTGTCTGCTCTCAGCTGTGTCCTCAGAGCACTCAGCTGCATTGCCAGCAAAATGAAGCTCTTGGGTATTTTCCTGTTGCATTGGTAATATTGGTGTGTACAGCATTCTATCTTTTTTATTTAGGAACTGTAACTTATTTCAGCAATGCTACAGCAGAGCTATAAGACTGACCTGGAACTCTAGGCCTAGGAGCAGACTTTTCAGTACAGCCAAGACTCCATAGAAGTGAACTAACGTCCAGATATATACACAGTCACCTACCTGCAGCATGCATAAAAGTTGAATGGGCTGGCTTTAAATGGAAGTCATATTAGGAAAAATAACTGAAACAGTGTCAATGTGATGGGCTGGAGACACTTTGACTTTCCCTGCCAAAATGTACCATCTCCTTTGCCACAGCACATGTATTTAGGCATCATTTCAAGTGATTTTTCTTGCTTCAGAGTTTGGAAAGTGAACATGAGAATCTGTCCCGAACTGTGTATTTTAAACACAATATTTTAAAGCTTGGAAAATATCTGAACTCCATAGTTGGAAAGTGAATGATAAACTTTATAGATAGCATATGAGTGCCATCTAGTGTTTTTCATTAGTACCTCGACCTTCATATTTCAGTTGCTTGAAAGGTATGTTCTGCAGCAGCTGCGAGTGGGCTGTGCTCTGTGTCCAACCATGCACCAACCATGGTTGGGGCCAGAAATGACTTCTGCCTCTGCACTCTGGGTATGGTGAGGAAGCCGCAGCTTTTGGAGGCTGGCTGGAAGGTTCCCCTGCCTGCTAGCAGAAGGAGATGGCTGAGGGCCATCAGGTGCTGCTCTTTGCTGTGCTGATGATATTTTAATGACAAACAGTTCAGAGACTATGAAGGAAAACATGTAGGAAAAAAGAGCAAGAACTAACTTCTTGTGTACAAAAGATGTACTGGGTTAGGAGAAGAATGATTACTGACATAACAGTGTCACATTGTTAGAGGATACAACTACTGCCAGAGCTTGCAGAGCACACCAGGTAGTTTTCTCCCTTCATATGGTGGGAGGCTAGGGGCCAGGAAAGATGGGGCTCTACTGTAATTGTGAATGTGGAAATAGAAAACTTTTTATTGACCAGGTTGAAATATACGTGCAAATGCTTGCACTAAAATTAAGGCAAAGCACTGAGCAGTCAGCTTGAGAGAATGGATTCTCTCTCTCCCTTTACTCTGGAGAGCAGAAAGCAGCTGCAGGTGGTATTAAATCCCATTGGTCTCAGTGGATTGCAGTGTAAGCTATTACTGCAGGCAAGGGCATTAAAGAAAAAGCTTGGGTCTTAGAGTGAGGCACAGTTCTCCCTGTTTGTTTTCTCTCAGTTATTTACAAGTTTCATATTTTTCTTTTCCTTTTTCAGCTTGCAGCACTCCCCCAGTCAACATGAAAGTGCAGCCTGTGAACAGGACAGCATTGCTGGTAACCTGGAACCAACCAGAAAACATCTACCACCCTCCAATCATGAACTACATGATCTCCTACAGTTGGACTAAAAATGAAGATGAAAAGGAGAAGACTTTCACCAAGGACAGTGACAAGGACCTGGTAAAACCACAGCATCAGCCCCAGGCACACGTATCAAACTGTCCTTACACTGTCTTCTCAGCAGAAGGAAGCAGAGGAGGGAAGCAGCTGTTACATTACAGACAGACTAGGATTTGACTTGCCATGTATTGCTATTAGATTGTTAGGCATTAGTTGAACATTGCCTAACAGACTTACCCAAAACACTGGTGTCTGAATTTATAGCTTATGTGAGTGCATAAAGGACTAAATCTGCAGACACGTTTTCATGTGCTGTTGCCAAGAAGCAGCTGTCTCAGGAAATAGTCAGACTCTGAGTACCTTTTAGCTTCTGTTCAGCTCACAGCTTTTCACATTAAAATCCCCGATCCCCCAGAATCTGCTGCTGGGTTCAGGCTCTTCCCTGTGCATAGCCCTTTGCAGTCTTTGGATCGGTTTCTGATCTGTGAGTGCTGCCAGCAGCAGTCAGGGCAGGAGGATTATTGCAGAGTTGCTCTGTGCATGCGCTGCCTCACTCCTCTTGTAAGAGAAAAAGTGGGAAGAGCAAGACAGCTCCAGCACAGATGCAAACACTGATCTATCTCCTCCATTTAGGATTTGATCTGCTTGTCATTCTTGTCTAAATGGAAGCAAGTATTGTACCAGTCTTTAACGTTCTCTGCATATAAAATCAAAGTGACATATTCAGGTTTGAAAGGACTCCGTTTATTGTTAATCAAAGAAAGCCTCTAGAATAATGAAATCAGTAATTGTATATGCACATGAAAAATGCAGGAGCATAGTGTTATTCCTAATGACTGTTATCGTGTTTTTTTTTTTCAAATACACAGTCCTCTGGGCCCATTCAATCAGTTATACAATAATACTTCTCTTATTCCCTTAGATGAAGATTCTTTTACTTCATTTTCCATTAATATTTTCAATTTCCCCACTAGACATTGTTATCTGGGTCACATTAGGGAATGATGTACCTCACAAAACCAGACAGGAATGTATTGAAAGGCATCCAAGGTTATGATGTATTGTAACCTCTCTCTTGTCATAACTTTGCGCTCTTAAGGGAGATTTCTTTTTAATCAGGTATAGGGAGGAGAGCCTTAATCAGCAAAAATGAGGTGGGCATGGAGACGGCATCCTGTTTGATGTAAAAGAAATAATTAAAAGTGCAAGGGATGTGATGGAGTGATAGCTTGGAAATAAATTGCTGTGAGACCCTGTGCTGTGCAGCAGAGCTTGGAGGTTAAGAAAGCAACGACAGCTTAGTCTATTTTAGGGGCAAGAGAAGAAATAAACTCTTTTTCGGAGGAAAGTGCAATTTGCCTTTAGTGCTCTGGCAGAGACAGCTGGGATGTCCCATCTTGAAACAAAGCTAGACAGTGTTTTGCTGAAGAGATCACTGGTATTTCCAGTGACCTCCACAGCCACGGGTGCTTTGTGCTTGAAAACTGAACTGATGTGATTGCAGTTTAAGGCAACACAGAGGAGTAGCTGGAAGGCAGCAAGGCAGCATCTAGTGTGTAAGAGTGGATAGCAACATCCCAGCCAGGGTGCTGAGCTACTGCAGGCCGCCAGCATCAAGTTGCTGCCACAACCTGTTGGTTGCAGAATAGTCAGTTTGAACATGTTGTCCTTCTCTGGGCTTAAAACAGGTTTGGGACTTGCATCTCTGCCAACAAAAATCTTATTTGAATTCCCTTAAGGTCAAATAATTTGGAGTGTAGGTGTTTCTGAGAGCAGAGACCCTCAGAGCGGAAGACTGTCATGGGGCATGTTCACCTCCTTTCTCTTCCTTGAGAAACAGTGAATTCTGCAAGGTTTGAGTGAATTGTTTGTATCTCAGGGACGTCCTTTGACCTTGGTCTTGCCCTTCCCTGGGGAACCAGTGAAAATTTCCATTCAGATATCAGTGAGGACGTTTGTGCCATGTAAGACAATGTTAGCACAATGCTTTATATATTTCAAACTGATGGACAGTACTGTGGGGGTAAAAAACTGAATAATATCTATTTTTTTTAAACAGAAGGCCATCATTAGCCATGTCTCACCTGACATCCTTTATCTGTTCAGAGTTCAAGCAGTTTGCCGAAATGAAATGCGTAGTGACTTTAGCCAGACTATGCTCTTTCAAGGTAAAAAAACCCAAACGTACATACATATTCTTACATGAAGTGACTCTTTGCGTGTTTAACATTTTCTTTACAGAATGCTGTATGGTGTGGAATGATTTCAGATGATGTTTGAATGCATGCAGATAATGCTCATTTTATATTGTGACCAGTGACTGTCAGTGCCTTATTTCCAGTGATGGGGATTTGCCTAGTGCAAAACTTTTCTTGGTGTTAGTTTTCTAGAACAAATCCATTGCAGACTCTTACACATCAGCTATAGCAGAACGTGCAGATGTACTTACTTTATGTAAAGGGAGAAGTAGATCAGTCTCATGTTGAGAATCACACGTAGAGATGTTTTACTGTACGCACAACATGGACACAGCTTAGTTCTGCCCGGGTGTCTGCAGTGTGTGCTGTGGTGTTAACGACATCACAGGGAGAGCAGGAATCAGACAGGAAACGTCCTGTCCAATCAAAATCTCACCATTTCTTAGTATCTTGTCACAGCATAGTGTTATGAAGCTCACTTCAGGTGCCAGGCAGAAGTCAGAAACTTGTGTGTTACTGCTTCTGACCTTTTTTGGCAGATGGTAGAATTGAAAGATTCTTTGAGGTTTGACCATGATACCTATTACATTACAGTTAAAGGAGTAAATAGTTACTGGCAGTTTTGCCAGATACTCCAGGAACTCTAGTTCAAAGTGTTGGAAGTGATACACACATTACAGTGAGAGCGGATGTTGTGTTTCCTTCCAAGTCTCCCCTAAAAGAAATTTGATTTCAAATCTTCAGCTGTGTTCAAGCTTTCAAAACATTGTTCAGAATGTGATTATAGTTTTACTTTTGGTAAATAGCAATATATAAGGCTAATATATAAGGCAGAAAAAAAAGGCCAGGCCTGAGTGCTTAAAGAATAACACATCTCTCTTTAGGCACAAGTACAGAGTTAGGTGAATAATATCAAAATTGCCTTAACTCCAGACTGAGAAAGCATATATATTTTGGACTTCATTGCATGCAACAGGTCTTCTCTGACATTTTCCTGCCAAGCCCTTGGTTACCGATTCATCCATAGGCCTCAATTTCCTTTCCCCGTTGACAGGCTTAATAGTAGCAATTCAGCAACTGTTTAGCAAGAATTGTATAGTGATATGGCTGTCAGTTCCTGACTCCCTTCCCAGTCCACTGAAATGCTCTTGTTCTTTTATTTCTCAGCTAACACTACTCGAATTTTCGAGGGGACCAGAATTGTGAAAACAGGAGTGGTAAGTTGGGGGTCATCAATCACTGCAGTGAGCTGATGGGCGCTGGGGAGTCGGGGCAGCGCTCCCACCAGGTGGCAGCACGATGTTGTGAATGTGCTGCAGCCCGCGCTGTCCTGGGGAGGTGGTTGCTCGAACCGAACCGCAAAGGAACCCACCTGACACGTGGAAGGGATTTTGGCTTTTTCACTTCACGTTCTGAGAGGCTTTGACCACTGGGGACTCGCGAGTTAGAAAAAAAATCTTCCCAAATATGTTTTGAATGCATTTAGAGGGGATATGTGATCTTAATGACTGTGGAAACTAATTTCACTGTTCTTATTAATTGCTTAGCCAAAAGTATATGCAACAAGAATCATGCTTCATGCACAGCATCTTAGCTCAAAACTATCAATAACTGAAAAAACTGTCAATACTCAGTGCGCCAAACCGTTCAGTCAGATTTATGAACTGAGCTCAAACTATTGAATTTTCTGCAAGGATGCTGCTTCTAGTTTTATTCTACTCCAGTCTGATATACTCCCTAGTAAGCAAGTAAGACATACAGAGCTTGAATTTGAATGATTAATGTTGGTTTAATGATGTATAGAGGTGTTCTAGATATGTAAAATCTGCTGCCAAGTTGTAATACCCAGTCCAGCTTTGAGACTGCACATGCCAGCAATGAGCAAACCTCACAGTGCCTTAGGGATTCACACTGATAAGCACCCAAAAGTTTAGATGCTTATTTAAAGTTTTGACTTGAAATCTATAAAGCACAGGTTTGCTTTTGAGATCTCAGGTACTCTATGATTGCAGCTGGTTAAAAATAACATGTGAGAGCCTTTCTTGTTTTGCTGCAGCATTTCAACTGCATGGCCTGATTGAAACTGGGAATTACAGAGATGCAGAAATACTGTTAAGTTACAGATTTCAGCTTCAGAAATACAGACATCTTATGGCCTTGTTTGAGATTCAGTAGGACCTATTTAACCCCTGTTTGTCCTTGTATGGTAGGCACCTTTCCACCTAAAGCTCTTCTTGCTGGCGAATCTAGTACCAAGAAGCAGATTGTAGTAAGTCAGAAAGAGAACATGTTGAGGTGATGTGGACAGTGTTGATCTCAGCTCTCACACATAATTGCTTCCTGTCCTTAGACAAACACACTTGGCCTCACTGTCTTTTTCTACATATAATTTAGAATTGTTTGTCTCTCTCTTATATATACCAAAGTTCTCCATTTCAGGTGGAACATACATGTTTGTGCACAGAGAATGAGTGCACATTGCACCAAGTTGACTTTATGGGGGTAACATTGGCAGTCTGCAGAGATGTCTAAGTTCATGGTTTGTTCTCTGCTTCCCCTCAGTTCTCCAGGCTACCTGGCAGTGGCTGGAACTCGTATGGGCAGGCAGAATCCCATGGATGGAGAAAACCAAGTACACATGTGGGTCTTTCAGTCAGATGATGCTGGTAGAGCTGACTTGCCAAAAAGACCCTGATGCTTTGCAAGTCCTTCAGGAGTGCCCAGCTAGTATTGTTGCAGCTCTTTTCTAAAGAGAGCAGTATCTCATGTTTGCTGCAGCACTAGTCCTTAGCAGAATGATGCTCATGGGTACTTTAGGAAATTAAAACAGTACTACTTAAGGCCCTCACAGTGCATGTGGGAAGAGCCAGTTTCCTATCAGAGCAAACCCACCAGCCATGGATGCACATGTTGGCAATACAGCTGTTATTTCAGGACAACCCTTATGTAACACTGTATTTTTAAGCTTCTGTATTCTGAGGATTAAAGCACTGTGAGTAATGAAGCTAAACTCATTAAGCTTCATTAAATCTTCTCTTACCCCTGAGAGGAAACACTACTCACAATTCACTGGTGATGTGGATGGAGAGTGTTCCACCATCAAATAAGGAATAAAGAGGCTTTTTATGGTAGCGATTGTTCAGAAATAGCAAACACAGGTTTCCTCTTATAGTTATTTGTGGCTCTGTTGCTTCTGCTGTTCCTGGTTCAGCCTTGCATCTGGGTAGTTCAGGTCTCTCAAAGTAAGAGAATAGCAGAATGGTGTTTGTGCGGAAAGGGAGAGAAAAACAAAGGGAAAATGACCACAGATAGCGTGTTAGGACCCCTACTGATGCTCTCTGCTCTTGTTTTCTTCCCCTTTGCTCCTGGTGATCTCCTCAAGCCCACAGCCTCTCCTGCCTCCTCAGCCGACATGGCTCCCATCAGTTCCGGCTCCTCCACTTGGACCTCCTCGGGGCTCCCCTTCTCCTTTGTGTCCATGGCCACAGGGATGGGGCCTTCCTCCAGTGGCAGCCAGGCCACCGTGGCCTCAGTGGTGACCAGCACCTTGCTGGCGGGGCTGGGCTTCAGCGGCAGCGGCATCTCCTCCTTCCCCAGCAGCGTGTGGCCCACCCGGCTGCCCACGGCAGCCGCCCCCAGCAAGCAGGCTGGGCGGCCTGTGGTGGCCACCACTGAGCCTGCTGCTGCCTCCCCAGGGCCAGAGCGGGACTCGGCACTGACAAAGGATGGCGAGGGAGCCGAGGAAGGGGAGAAGGATGAAAAGAGTGAAAGTGAGGATGGAGAAAGAGAGCGTGAGGAAGAAGATGAAAAGGAGGCTGAAAAGAAGGAGAAAAGCAGGGCAACAGCTGCGGCGGAAGCACGCAATAGCACAGAGCCCAGCGTGGCTACGGGTTCACCCAATTGGACTGCTGAGGAGGAAGGAAATAAAACCATATCAGATGAAGAGCCAAACCAAAATGTTGCTCCCAAGGCTGGACATCCTGAGGAGGAGAGTTTTACTGAAGTAGACACTCAGCCCCAGCCTCTCCCTTCCACCCAAGTGCCGCTGGCGTTCACCGATGAACTTTATCTGGGAAAGATCCCGAGAAGACCAGAGACAACAAGAAAACCTCTCCCAAAGGACGACAGGTTTCCAGAGGAACATCCCTCAGATAACAAATTCATCACCATTAATCCAGGTGAGTGACATCCGGGGAAACTCTTTTTACAAGCATAAGATTGTTGGGAAGTTACACAAACCACATTCCTTACTGATTTCCAAAAGGCACAACAATTTTTTTTGGTGCCTGGTTTCCCCATTAGATAGTTCATCACAGGACCCGACCAACAAATTGTTGCTGGGAGGAGGAGAGAGAGAAGGATGATAATTTTATTTTCTTACAACAGATTTCTGCTACTCGTATTCCTGAATAGAAGAGAAAATTTGGAAAAAGTGTTTTGGGAAAAGGCTACGTGAAGAGCTTTGTTTTGATTTTTAAAAAGAGAAATGCAGTGAACTATAGCTGTGAAATTAATTTGTAAGAGTGGTTGCTGTGCCAAGCTGGTGTTTCAAGGGAGGCTTTCTCTGTATGCTCTAAGCTAATTTTGTTTATCTGCAGGATTCTCCCTGATAGGGCTTTGAGATATTCTCCCAAATATGGGATCATTGGTGGTTTATTCCTCACCTCAAAACCTACATGCTCTGATTTTGCAAGGCACCTTCTGTGCTGGGGTTGCCTTCTTTTATGTATGAAATGATCTCAGCCAGAGTGAGCTCATGGAATTGTTCATTTGTCCTGATAAGAATTATAGTTCTCCTGTGTACATCCACTCTAGATTTATGTACCTACTCTCCACAACGTACGCAGCCCTTACAATCTTTTTGCATCTATCAGAACACCAAATCCTGTATGGTCAGGAGCTGCTTACATAAACAGGCATCTCCTGGTGCTCCCAGCTAAGTGTGCAGAAGGTCCATTGGGTATAGACATGTTCTTTCTTGAGGATCTCAAGGTGTTGGTGAGAAAAACAGATATTTTAACTGCAAGGAGCAAATGGAGTGCATTCATACAGATTTGTTGGCAGAGTATGGTCTAGGATTTGGATACAAGAAGAAGTTTGTCTGAGTGATTATGTGCATTACCACAGCATTTATAAGATACCGCATGTTTTTATTATTTGTTATTTGATTGTTATTGTTTATTTTGCTAATCTATAGACTGTTTTGTAATTTCGTTTTCCATTGAAGCAGGTCTGGAGTTAGATTACTATGAAAAAACCTTAAATATTTATTTTTCCCTACGTTTAGAAACACGAAAATGCAGACGTTGTGCACTCAGTTATAGCTGAGAACCAATTTAAAAAACAAAGCTAAATCCTATCTTTAATAACATTTGTTACAGAAATGCTGACCTGACTGTAATGCTGTGAATCATAACTGTTCTGTAAGAGAACAGATTAATGAGGAAACCAAGAAATGTACATCATATTTTGCTGTTTTTTTAATTTTATTTTACTTTTAATAAATATTCTGCCATTTTTCTTACTCCTCACCTGAAAATCATCTTCAAAGTCCACTGCTCCCACTGAATATGATGCGAGATGCCTGCCAGGCAGCTTTCAGCATGCCATTTGCCCTTAACACCATTTTAGTGAGAGGGAGGGAATGTTCTTTGCAGTGCTGTGAGTAAGCATTCAGCATTGTTACCCAACAGTTTGATCTGCATCAGTAAAGCTGCTTCTGGAATAGCTATCTTTAGTTCTTCTTGCCTTTCTTGCTTTGTGTTTTCTCTTGCACTAGTTTCTTAGATGGCCCAACTATGACACCCCTTATGTAAGTGCTGGCAGAAGGCCTTGTGGCTTGTTCTCAGCCTAATACAAATTGAAATAAGGATGAATAGCTGGTCTTACTAGCTAGATCATGACAAAATGATTCTTATTAGATAGGGTTTTATTCCATGAAGAAGATAAAAATCAATGAAGAGAGAAATATCATTCATATTGCTAAGAAGTACTTGCTGGTTGTATCCCCTCACTCTGTAGTGATTTCTGTCTCTTTTTAGCATGCAGAGAACTATCACTGAAAGTAGTTCAATGCAGCTTTGCCTCCTACCTGACAGGCTCTTTTAAGAGCTCTGCGTACTTGCAGGCTTGGAAGCTTGAAGTGACCCTACCTGAAGACTGCATGCAAAGATGATTGGTCTTGAAAAGACTCTGCAAATGAGGTTTTTCTGTGCTTATATGGGGGAAGGATAACTTCTGAAGATCACAGTCTATTAACAATCTGGTTTCCCTGTATAGGAAACAAAGTCTGAAGTAACCAGCATGTATTAGCTGGGGAATAAGATAAGTGAAAGAGTCATCTGTTTTACCCCAGCTGACCTTTGTTAAATCTTAGTTAAACCTCTGGTGATGTACCCAGTGAGAAGGGAGGGAACTGTGCCATGTTTTATGTCCCCGTTCATTGCAGGGGAGATGGGCTGGATAGCCTGTAAGGGTCACTTCCAACTCAAACGATTCTGTGATTTTCAGCTTCCCAGACAAGCTGCTTCGAGGTCCCTCAGCATGCTGGGGAAGACGTTTGGCAGCTGAAGGCAGGAGTAGCTGTTCAGAGAAGAAAGGTCCGTAGTGTACAGTTTTCCCTTGTTCATTCCTTGTCCTTGACTTCTAGGTGGGAAAAGCTAGGCTGTTCACAACTATGGCAACTCCTTGCCTAGACATTGTAAGACAAACATTCTTCAGTTCTGCTAAGATTTTGAGATGCTTCTTAGTGCCTTTGGGACAGAGGCATTCAGTCTGAATCTCTGTAGTTGTGAGGATGTTGTCCTTCAAAGTCCATCCAGGCAGGGCTCTTCTCCTTGCATCTTGTCCCCAGGCTGTGACTGGGAAGAGCTGAGGCCTGCCTGACCAGAATTTGCCCAAATATTTTGGTAGATGTGTCTGAATAAGAGAGCAGGAACTTTTTTGAATGCATTTTTTTCTACAGGAAAACACTTTTAAGAAAGCTGTCAGAGTTTCCAAAATGTCTTTGTGAGTAGAAAGTTTAATCATTTTAAAGAGCAGAAAATTGTTTCATAACAATGTACACTTGTAAAATTAATTCTATAGCAACAAATTAGCAGTTGTGAGGAGATAACTGAATGGGGAAGTACTCATGAGTGTGGATGATTAGAAGGGAACAGGGAACACGAGAAATTATGGGGAAAGTGCGAGGCCAATTAGTACATCAAGGCTCATTTTCCTTTAGTGTTTGTTTCACACACACATACACACACCTCTCCTGAGGCCATGTCATTATTTTCCAAATGGCATCGGCCTCTTCTTGTCTGGTGGTATTGGCCAACATTAATGATTTTCTTCTGTCACTGAGCGCTTGCTTGCATTCTCCTCTTTCATTTTACTGATCATCCCTTTCTCTGTTTTGTTGCCCACATTAGGCTAATTGTACCTTTGATCTGCAACTGTTACACACACAGCTGCTCAGCATTGTCTGTGACTCTGAAACCTGAAAATTAGAAAAGCAGCAATTAGAATGATGCTAAAAAAAAAAGAAAAAAAAAAATAGAGTGAAAGTAAAGAAAAAAAAGAAAGAAGCAGGGAAGTAGGATGATTCAGTTTAATCAGTCTACAGCAGATACAGCCCAATAGAATTTTGGTTTGTTGTGCCGAAAAGTTGAGCAGACCCTCTGCTTTCGATAGGAGATGAAGAAAGGAGATGTTGTGAGCAAGGCAGTGCAAGCCTGGTTGGGGCTTTTAACCTGAGTCATGAACTGGGACTAAGAACAGAGGTCTGGGTTTGGCTCTTGATGGAAACTTCACCTGGGTCCTCCCATCCCTCAGCGCCCACTCATTTATGCTGAGTTCTTCCCCTGGGAGGGCCATGTAGAGAGATCACAATGTACAGATTAAACTTGAAGCCAGGCATGTAGTTTTAGCATAGTGAATTTTAGTTTATTAAGCAGTCTTTGCCAGGCCTGAGGTTACAAAAGCCTTTTGGGGGTAACCTCATTAAGATAATTAAACATCTGTGTAATTCTTTCTTTCTCCATACATGGCAAGGATTATTAAACTGTATTTTCCTGTGGCATATGAGCCATTTCGCATGGCAGTTTATATGAGCAAGCAGTAAAATGGCTTGCATATAAAAGAATTGGATTACTGAAAGCAATTTGAGTGGGCAAGCAGTATGAATCTCAGTTATCCAGCATCAGGGTTAAACATGATTGGCATCTGTTTACAAAACAGTGAAAAGCCATGCCATGCTGTGTTCAACCTGTAAGTATGAATGCTGCAGAAATGCCTTCAAAGAAATAGGAAGAAAATAGCTGTGCAATAATACAAGCTCATGTGAAAGTAATCTTTTTAAAAAGCACATGTTTTTGCAGCTCCATGTTTGAATAACTAATAGCTTTGTACAAGTCAGTAATTTTGTTTGCTGGTAGCTGCCTTTCTTTCAGGTGACAAGATGATCTGAGGCAGCACCGCAGTGGGGGTTTTCTTTGGGCGTGCAGAATGTGTACTTCGTAGTTAGGGATCTGTAACAGTACAACAAACAGAACTTTGTACTGTGGTTTGTGTAACGTCAAGGAACGATAATGGGAAGTTTCAAAATAAAAAGGTAGATACCTTATATATTGCACCTACAGTTGCTTACTATAGCAGGCAGTGCAACTTCAGGGATATAAACTTCCCCATTCTCAGTAACCAACTACCAGGAATACACAGACAAAACAGTACGTTTCGTAGTCTATGGAATGCCTTGACCTTTGTACACGAGTTTCACTGCCCACTACTCTATAATAATGTCCATTCCATGGCCTCATCCATTCCAGGACCTGGATGGCATTGCTGAATGAGTGCTTCGCAGAAAAGTGCAAGTTATAGATTTTTGCAGACGTAGAAGTTAATCTAGCAGTGCTGAGGCTTGTGTCATGTGGGACCTCCTGAAACAAATACACTGTAATAATTTTTATTCCCTCCTACCGGGATGTATTCCAAGCCAGTAAAAGGCAAACTGAATTAATTCAACGAAGGCATATGCCACTGGAAACTGTTTACATTTCTTATGAAAAATTGAGTTTCATGGTCCATTTTTAAGCCTTTTTTTTTTTTTTTTTCCCCTACAAGGACATGCTGTTGGTGATACCATGTCTCAACATTCTTGCTTTGGAAAAGGAAGAGTTAAATTCTTAGTATTTTTGATGGTATGTGTTTTGATATGAGGTGAACAGGGAAATAAATAGGCCTGGATCTGTCTTTTTTGTGTGTGCTTTCTTTAACTTCTTTCCACATTGCTCAGCGTGCTGCCTATTCTTAGGATTTTTTGCCTAAATGAGACACCCACCAGCACTCTAGCTCTATTGCTACACTTCTAGCCCCAGCTGTCATTCTACAACAGCTTTACTAGCATTGTTTTATTTAACCTCTCTCAACACTTTACTTAGCAGTGGAAAACACCTAACACATCCTCAAAGCCAGCACAGGAATGGCAGGAATGGTTTATGTTTTTCTGCAGCACATCACTGCCTAGGCATTCCCAACTGGAAGTCAGGGCCAGCCATCAGCATGCAGGAATGGCATTTGCAATTCTGGCACTCGGCACACTGAGCACTTCTGATCCTCACATCTGCGGTAGATGGAGTTGGCAGGGGCAGATAAGTGTGTTCTCCACAGTAGACTGAGTCAGAGGAGCATCATGAGCATTGCAGAATTTGTTAGTGTGCATTGGGACTCTTGCCTGTGCTGTGCTTAGAATGGATTTAATTTTCTTCCCGTGCAAACAAAACCATACGTTTTTATGTTGAAATATGTGGAGGTGAAACAGAATAGAATATTGTCCTTAGAGGGAAATGAAGTAATATCCTAATAGATATAAGGTGGTGGGGAGCATTTGGCTCCTTGCTGGGCTTTATTTCAGTGCATGCTTTTACTTTTTCCTTTTTGCCGTTCTGATTAGTAACACTTACCTCACAGTCTTAACTTTTTCATGCTATTAGATGATTTGAAATGCACTGATTAAAAAAAAAAGAAAAAAGATGCCTCAGGGCTTATGATTTTTGCAAGTTTTACAAATACAGAGAATAAATCTTTGCTTTTAGTTCGGGGTTGTTCTTTTTCTTACTCTTTGCTGGTCAAGGATATCAAAGACCTGTCTTTAAAATGGTATGTTGTATGTTATTAGTATGCTGTGAAGACTAAAGCTCGCCACGTGCTCTAAGTACAACAATGTGTGGCTCTGTTGGTAACCTCAATATCTTTTCAGACTGAAGTCAGAGACAACTGGCTACTCATCTTGCTTTGATAATTTCTACACTCAGTGCACGTTCACTTCCCCCAAACATCCCTCTGATTAGCACTTCATTTAGGTTGCTTGCTAAAGGGCATTACCTCCATCAGCCTATTTCTTAAAACGAGAAAGATTTCTTGCTGGGCTTGCAGCAGCCTGCAGCCTCACTCTGTTTTCAGCAGTCAGGCAAAAAGCATTTACAATTAACCTTTACTTCCATGTTAGTTGAATTTTACTCCTGCCTATGGAGGAGTATAATCTAAATACTATTAAAATAGAGTATGACTTTATATTATGTGACATCTGGTGACTTCCAATTATCTGTGTTTTGCCTGCCCACGGTGCAAAGGCAATTATGTTCTTCTGGTCGGATTTGCAGCAGTTTCAGAAGATATGATAATACAGTAGTGAAGGAGGGCAAGGAAGCACATTGGTAAGGAAAGACTTGCATGGGCTGATAAGTAGAAGTCAAGTATGTACATTTCAATTCTCATTCAAATCAGAAGCTGTTTACAGTAATTGTTTCCCATTATATCCACTGACAGGTATTGATCAGCTCCTGCCTGTTTTTTTCAGAAACATGAATGAAATACAGAATCCACTTCTATATTTTTGTTTATAATCTCATTCTGCCTACCATGATTTTAGAATCGTAGGATATCCCAAGCTGCAAGGGACTCACAGAAGGGTCTTTGAGTCCAATTCTGTAGAAGCTTGAAATTTATATCTGATAATTATCTTTGAAATAAATATAAATAAGTATCTGAAAATTATATCTAAAAGTGATTATTCATCAAGTCTATTCAAATTTTCACAAATTAGACATTTTTTGTCACACAGTGTGGTTACAGGGTCCACTCTCATTAACTTCAGTACTTGCAGTAATTTTATCATGGTGTTCGAATCATGAAAAAAGTGAAACAGTTACTCGACCAGATCTCAGAATATTGACCAACTTTAATTTTGTTCAAAAGCTGTAGCATAATGATTTCTTCTGTCAGTTACAACACATACTATCCATTCATTCATCCATCCATCTTGACAATCCATATGCTAAAAAGTGCATTCGTATGCAGTAACTCACCAGATTGTGACAATTCAGCAAATGATGTGACATGACACCCAACATGTTGAGGATTTTTATTTTAAGATAGTTACCAAGAAATTTACTTCTGAAGGAGAGTATGCTGAACTTGGCAAACAAGAGCTGCCCTGTAGTGTTGAGAAACAGGGTGCATTTACCTGCAAACAGTGATGATGGAGCAAAATATTTACTTTGCTACTGTGGTGGAATAATTCAGTGGGATCCTCCATGTCTGATAATAGGTGCTTGCATGAGTCCTAAAATTGTGTATGACACTGTAATTACAGGCAGGAGTAAAATCCAAGCCATATGTGGCAATAAACACCATACTTTTGTGCTCTTAAGTTTCAAATTAAAGACAAATGGAGTCCCACCCTGCAATTAGAAGATCTTTGCTCTGAATGTTTGCTCATATCATGTAAAATGGAGAAACTATTTGTTTTCCTGACACATTTCTCCACACTGTAAATCTCTTTACACTTTGTGATTGTTTTTATTGTGTGCTTAATATGCAGCTGACAAGAACAGTTCCAGCATGGCCACGAGACCTTCTCCTGGTAAAATGGAATGGATCATCCCGCTTATTGTGGTCTCAGCACTGACTTTTGTGTGCCTCATTCTTCTCATTGCTGTGCTTGTCTACTGGAGGTGAGCATGTTTCCTTTACGTGCAGAATCTGATCATGGTTTGAAACACGTTTGGAATGATTTTTTTAGTGTGGTGCTGTGTTTTTTATTTTGTTGGATGTTATGATGATAGATGCATTAGTTGTCTCTCTGGTTGCTGGAACGTCTCTGTTGGGTTAACTATTCAACAGCCTCAAATACCGTTTTTTTGTGTCGTGAAATTTGGTTACTAATAGCAATGTCAGAGCCAGCTGTAATGTCAACAGATATTTCCACAGTTAGCCTTAGTCTTAGCCGTGAGGAAAGATGGTCATGGGAGAAAAGCCCAGTGAGACTTAATTCCTGTGTGATCTTAAGGTGCTTGTTTTCTTCCTTTGTATTTCCATGAAAGAGGGATAAAATAATTTAATGCTCCGTAACACTGCACTTAGGAGCACGTTCTAAATGTAGCATTGGTGAAGTGTTCTGAAGTACAGATCCTGCAGGAAAAACATCCTCTTAAGGAGAGATGTCATCCTTTACACCAGTTGGGCTCAGTGATGAAGGCTAGGTTTGCCACCAACAAACCAACTTCAGTTAATTTAGAAGAAGACAGAAACTGGAGTGCATTCTTACGTCAGAACCAAAACTCTGAGACACCTCACTTGTCTTGTAGTGAAATGTAACCAGAGATTAACCTCAGAAAAGGTATTTTGGAATTATTTCAAAATCTGATTAGCCAAGACACAGAAGAGTAGCTTTGGGGAGGAATAGCAGTCCATTGATCATTTTATTTGCAGAATCAGTTAAAAAAATACCAATTTGTTTTCCAGTACCCCCATTTTGCTGATGATCAATGACAAATTGTCAAGGCTGGGAACATTCTAAAATACATTAGTGAATAGATGACAGTACTCTTGTAAAGATCATTTCTCTTTATATTAGCTAATAATTGACATGACTGCAATAAAACAAGTGAATAAAATTGCACTGATGCATGCGTAGAAGCCGAAATTGGAAAAGATACAAAGATGCCAGTTCAGTGTCCTGCTCTTCAGTATACCTCTTGTCCAAAATCTCTCCTGTTTTTCTTTCTTTTGGAACAGTAAACTTGGTCACATTCATACCAGCCAAGCCCTCAAAGTATATGGAATATTCTGAAGCACTGTAGTGTAGGACTAGTTTATCTTGCTTCAGTACAAAATGCTCTGCTAGGGAGGAAGGATTTGGAGATAAAATGCTAACAACCATTATGGAGAAGAATGTTGGTACCTCTCATTGTTTGAAAAACATTTACGTTTCCTGCAATTTCACTAATGGATGGAGATAAATAATTGCAAAATTAGTATTTAATCCACTTAAAGAGTAACAGTGCTGTCCCTGAGAGAATATTAAGGTTTGAAAGAACTGGCTTAGTGATGAGACTAATTTTGGTAAATACTGCTTTTTGTAATAGATCATAATGTTATTCAAGTCTAAAATTAACATACATTAATTAAAGTTAAATGCTTTTTATCTTTCAAATTCCTAACCATCTACCTCATCACATTTTTATTTGCTTAGTAATAACAACCTCGCAGATAAATCAAGGGAAGTACAGGAACAAAGGCTTTAACTGAAACCTGTAATATTTGTTATTTTGCATTCAGACGGCAGTTGGATTTTATCTGTTCTGCATAATTTGCATGAGTAGTTAACATTCATCGATAGCTTTGGTAAAAGTATGAGTGTATAATATATTTAAGCCTTTGACAACCATGGATAAATTTGTATGCGTATAGCTGATGTTAAAAAAAAAAAGTTAGAGGTTAAAAATTAATATAGGCATGGAAACTGTGTCAAAAGGGTTTTTTTTTTATAAATATGAGGCAATAAATTGAGGAACGATAAATAAACTTGAGGGTACTCGTTCTCAGTTCAAAATAATGCATTTCTAGTTTATGGCTCCAAGGATTTTTTAAACAAATACAGAACACGTATATAAGAGAAGGGAATGCGTGTTTTAGGATAAATCAGCAAGCAGCCAGAACACAAATTGTCCACGGTAACATTTCACGCTGTGCAGACCATGTCATTGAAGTGGTAACACAGCATTTTGTATGCCCTTTTCAATGTGATTAGCATTCTTCAGGGAAAATAAAATGTTTATCTCTGGGAGTGCTTGAAAGTAAGGAAAAAGAGAACCTCATACAGCTCAGAGTGTCATTTACAAGTTGGAAAGGAACAGTGATCTGGATTTTCAGGAAGAAATACTTAGCTTGAAATCTAATAGGCAACATATGGAATAATTTGCTAAATAACACCATCAAAGCAAATGGCATGAAGAAGAGTTTGAGACAGATTTTTCAGTAAGGGAAACGTGCTATTGGAGGGGAAGATGCTGTATGCAGAGAAACGCTTGTTGTAAAAGGATAACCCTCAAGGGGACAGGCGTGCTGGACCAAGGGGTCTTTTCTTGCACAGCAATTGTTTGTTCTCTTGTGAGAAAAAGCATTGAAAAATACCACCCAGACAAGTAGAAAATGCAGAAGAGACATGGCTACCCTTTGGCAATACATCACAAGGGTAAAACAAATGATATTTTCACTTTTGCATTTCTGAGCATTTGTGGGATTACAAGACTAAAGAACAGAGGTGACATAAGTAGAACAATGAAGCAGAGCAAAGCCTTCTGCTTCTTCACATTGCATTGGTCTCCTGTTATCCAGGGACCAAAATAAGGAATTAATGGTTTGCTTATGAAGGTTTGGCAAAACGTTTCTCTCTGTTCTGCTCCTTTGTAACTCATTCTGTGATACAGAACTAAAGTAAGTTTTGTGATGATATATTGTAAAGAAGCTTCATTTTCCCTTCACTTTATGTGAAAAGGAGAATCGTAGGAATCAGTCACTGTTTGATGAAGCTTTCCCTGTATCTTTGGAACTTCCATGCTGTGTTCATTAGAGGCTTCTTGTAATTTAACGTATATGGGAATGATTTGTCCCATTTCTGAATTAGACTCCCTTATTTGCAGAGGTAATTTTCTGTTCTTAGTTCCTTTTCCATGTGGATCCTGGACAAATGGTGAAAGGATTCAAAGGATCAACAATTCAAAAGGATCAACAATTGATGTTGATGAGAAAGGGTCATTTCCTTCTTTTTAGCATGATAGCCATCTCAGTAATGAAAAGGGATGGGAACTTACAGGCAAGCAGCAGTTCTGAATTACCTTTCCATTGAAGTTTCTTAAATTCAGTACTTCTAATGGCACTACTGTGCAAAGAGATGTATGTGATCTTAAGTTGGAAGAGCAGAAAATAAACTAGGTCAGCATAATGAAACTGCAAAAATTGTCCTGTCTGTTATCCCAGAACAATGAAGAGAGCATCACTGTGTGATGACCGGGAGCCACGGAGTGCACAGAGGGTGGGTAGGAGTTCCTCTTCCTGGGCATGGGGGCAGCTTGTTTCCATGCATCTTTGATTCTTCATAAGGAGAAGCTGGCCTGGCTGGTCCTTGAGCTGCCCTGGGCACAATGAAGGGAGCTGTTGCTCCCAGTTCTAAAACCTGAAACTGGTATCTTTTAGTATTGAGGCATAGCAGCATTCATTCCTTTCAGACTGATTCCAGAAATTGGATTCTGTTTGGACAACCATAGTTTTGGAGAACTATTCACTCAGATTTTAGGATCTTTCTTTGGAGTGCTACTAGCTCATACAGAGCCCATTCAAGTGTGTGCATTGAAAGCTGCAGTTTACCAAGCACATGATTTCTGCATTTCTGGGCATTTGTTTTGCATCTGTGATTTTATATCCAGACTCAGTACTGTGAGATCATTCTGCAGTTCTTCAAGGTCAGTTTAAAATTTGACTTCCATGTTCTGCATTCTCTGCCACTGTTACTCTTAAAGCCTTTTCTATGAACTTTGAGAATCACAATGTGTTGGTAGTGACCTCCAAACTATTTAGGGATTGAGTGTGACTTCAGTTTTTTTGCAACACGACGACTTCCTACAGCATGATGAGCCATACTATGGCTTGAAGCTTTCTCTGTATTCTTCTTGCAAATTGAACAAGTCCTGAACATTGACACTGTAAGGAAAACCCGAGGTCAGTGGCACTTTCTTTCTCACAGAGGTGTAAAAGTGTGAATAGGGTTAAGAAATCAACTAAAATACTGAGATGCACATTGCATTCTGTCACCTCAGAAAAAAACAATATTTTTAGGAGCGACTGGTGACCTTCCCCTGTTTGTTTTCCGTTTTGATTTTTAATCTAAATATTACATTGCTATAGACTGTGATTTCAAAGGGAAAAATAAGCAGAGAATATTAAGACGCGATTAAGATTTTAGAGTTTAGCCAACAGCAACTTTTAAATGGGAACTAAATTATAGCCATTTCTCATTTTCAGCTAAGAGGAAGAAATTAATTCAGCGCTATAGCTGGAGAGTTTTCTGTTTCTTTCTTTTCTGCAGATACCATAATTCACCTCTGAATTATTGCCACCATCAACACTGTGATCCCAAAGACAAAGCAGGAATATTGTATTGCATTTCTTATTAAATCAAGCTGTTTATACAGTGCTAATATGTTTACATTCAGGAGGGATTTTTGGAACAACACAGCTGCTGCCTTTCAAAGAGCAAGCAAGCTTGCATTGCTTGTTTATAGCCTTGTGTGTATAAGAGACGGCTTGGGAAAAAGAGGCCTTTAAATTTCCTTGGGCAAAACCCTATAGAATTTAGTAGAGAATATGAGTTTTCTTAGGTTTCTAGTAAGCATCCTGCTGAATTGAACAGAGAGGCCTTGGAGCAGGTCTTGTGACACAGCCTCACACTTCTCCAGCAGTACTTTTCTGCACAGAAGGAACAACACTGAGCACCAGGAGATGCAAGTTTGTTCTCTGACTCTCATTGATTTTCTGTGTGACCTGAAGCCAACTCACTTACAGTTTGACAATCTCGTTGTTGAACTTGGTGGCAAAGACCTCATTGGGAGCAAGCTCAGGTGTTCAATATTTCAGCATCTGAATGCAGTCACTGGTGAAACGGCACCAAAAAAAG